AAATGTATGATGTAATTGTAGACAATCCAGATAAAATTCTAGGTCTATGTACTTCTTCATCTGACTTGAATTTTGGTCTGAGCACCAAAGCCATTACCATTACTGTTTTGAGTCACAGACATTTTTGTTCCTGATCCTGGTACCTGCTTTGGGCTCATTTCCTATTGGTAACTTCTAGGTGGTATTCTGACCTCACTCCACGTAATTTTCCTTCTGACTTCAGCATATATTCAGCGTGTATATTCACACACACAGACACACAAACACACACATGTTTAAAGATGAAAAGTGAAAGTACAGATAGAATGGTGGGGAGGTGGTAGGCAAAACTGGCTTGCACTCCCCCTCTGAGCCCCCTTTCCTCCCCTCCCCTACCCTCCTCTCCCCTTCCCTTCTCTTCTCTTCCCTTTCTTCTGGCCCTGAGAGCCATTTTCCAGTGAGGACTTGTGGAAGGTGTTGAGGTGTGGATCAAGGGTTGAAATATGATAGGGGCAAATCTCTAGTGTCAGATGGTAGTGATAAAATATTTTATTCAAAATTCTCCGAACCTCAGTCTGAGCTAGGAAAGAACATAGTTACCGGTCAGAGAGATGGGAGAAAGGCAGCAAAGATGTGGATTGTGCTGGTGAAATGTGGCCCTGCGGAACGAATGTGACACTTGGCCACATAACCCCCAGAAGGATGGCCAAATATGGATCTGTTTATGCCATAACAGTGCTAAATGTGTATCCCAGGGTTATGTATGTGTGTATATGATGTGTCTGTTTGTCTTTGGATAAGAATTCAACAATCTTATCATCTGTAATTTGAAGCTATTTTTATGTTACGTTCATGACTAGGATGGTCCCTTCAGAGTACTCTGTGACTTCTTTTTCTACTTATAGTCAGAATTGTAGTTGATTATCTTACAGGCATTTTCTGAAAGAAGTTCAAAGTCATAGGACATTAACTGCTTCTTTAAAACTGGTAAATATGACTATAAAATGTGGCACAAGGCTTAAATTCTATGCATAGACCATTTGTGTATAATGAAAATATGTATAATTGAAATATTATTATTAAATAGCCTATGTTTTCTTATAAAGACTAATTTCAAAATAATTGCCACTATCTAAATTATATAAAATCATTTCAAAAATCCATGAGTTTCAAATCATAAATTTTTTGGACAGTAAATTTAAATAAATTTTACGCTTTAGATTTCTTCAGTTATTATAACTCCCAGAATTTGAAATTCAGTCAACCAAAAAGGCTTTGAAATAGTGGAAAGGTCTTTATTTTCTTCCCAAGATTCCATAAAATTAAAAATAAAAGTTGTATGGATGTCAATCTCAGGTCGTAGTTTTTTCAAATTCTGTTCTAAATTTTTAAGAATTATCAATTTTCCATCCACCGTCTTTCTTTCCACTCTTTCTCACTTTCTTGTTTATTCCATTTTTCATTCAGTTTTTTTTTAATTCCAAAGGATTTTTTCATAAAATACAAGTCAATGCTAGTTATCAGCTTTTTAGAAATTTAAATAGTTTACTGCATTGATCTTAACTTTTAGCAATTGTTTTGAATTTGAAAACAATTTATATTATTGTTGGTCCAAACCGTACCTATTTACACATTTTTGTCTAGGAAATGATCATGGTCCTGTGATCCCTTTGGAATGGGGAAGTTTATAGAGCTAAAGGAGATAATTGGACAACTGACATATTGCTCTATCAATGGAAGGTTTCTTCTTATATCATAATTCTTAAGATGACATAATGAAGAAAGGTTAAATTGGTTTTTATCTCAAAATATTTTTCCTATTATCAAATATTTCTGGGTGAAATATGGTCATTGATATCTAAATAAGACAATATGAAACTGATGGAATGTCAGTACTACTGAATTATTACATACTCAAGTTACAGATCAAAGTTAATTTTATAAAGGCATGTACATAGTTCCTCTTTTTCCTCTGTATCTTTCCCTTTTATGTACATGTGCGTATTACAGTTCCTTGAACAAACATTCTCTCATTCCATTTATACAAGTTGAGAGACCTAAAACTAACATAGGCTTTTTTTATTTGCTCCAGTTAATCTTCAGAATTGCACCAGAATTAGGACAGCCTAGATTAGAATTATTTGCAAGGCTAGAGTAGAATGTGTATGCTTCTAAAAATGTATTTGGTAGGTATATGTAGGTTTCTGGAACACCAAAAATATGTGAGCACCCTTAAGATAACTTGGCTCTAGTCAAGAGTTCAGACTTCAAACAATTCCAGCATTCCAAGCACCTGCCACAGTAAAACCACACCCTTCACTGTTGACCTGAACCAAAGCCTCCTATTTAATTCCAGTAATATAAGGCTTCTGGTCTGTTTCAGAGTCAAAGAAGCCAACAGATAATCAGAGAGGTGAGCATATTAATAACTGAAATATTTGATGGCCTAACATAAAGGAAGAGGACCTGGACATTACAATTGTAGATATGTGTAGTATCTCCATCATTTAAAGAAAGTTTAAATTATATAGTATCCACTGGAAAATAATTTTTGATGCATATGTAGGAGATTTCGCTTATCTGAAAATATGTAAGCATGAAAAGAAACATGAATTATTAGTGCTTTTATCATAGTGTCACATAACAGGAAGACTTGAATAGGATAGAAAGCATGGGGGTTAGGAGCACATAAGTGTAATTTTGAGTATATAGAACAAACATTTAAAATCAGAAGGTATATTGAGTGTGAGTGGAACAGATCCACATATATTTAAGTCTAAATTTCTTATATCTGAATAAACTAATTTGGTAAAAATAAAATATTTCTTTTTCCAGATTAACATTCTCCTGATAGCCTGCCTGTTTCTAGGCCACTTCTTTTTGTGGGTCCTGGAGTGGTTAGGGAACACAAAATTTCATAGCTTACTGTAAAGCCTTTTAGAATGAAGCACAGGCATAAATAACAAATATGTAAAAAAGGAAGACAAATTTTAGTATTGGTGTATATAAGAAAAATATTTTCTTTGGCAAGATCATTTTAGAAGGGAAATTGAATTTATAAAAAATTGTCATTGTTGAATTTATAAAGAATTATCATATAATGCAGGAAAAGAGCTTAGAATGATCATAAAAGACCTAAATTCTGGTTATTAGTTATGAGCATCAGAATACCACCTTGTGTTTATATAGCACCTGTTTCTTAGTAGGTGAAAGACCAATGATACAGGGTTTTTGTTTTTATTTATTTTTATTTTGTTTTGTGTTTGGCTTTTATTTTGTTACATTAATCAATAGTAGTTATATAACTGTGTAGTTGGAAGGATGTTGGTCTCATTAATATTTTACTAATTTGAGAATAGGTTTAGAAATATAGGTGATTTGGAAAAGCTCCAGAGCTTTTTCATGCTGGCTTGGAAATGCTGAGTTTTTCTCCAACATGGCTTGCTAGAGCTGATGTTTTTATTTTTGCACCATCAGGTTTTTCCATGAAATTCCTTTTTTCAGTAATCATTTCTTCTTCCACTTCTTCTTCTTCTTTTTTTTAAGTTACCCACAAGGTAGAGAGTAAAAATAATCTCAAAGTTTTCATTAGATATTTTTTTCTACACAAATACTATTCCTGAGTATCCCTATCTACAAAGTAGCCTCTCTAATTGACTAATTCTGCTGTTGAAACTCTTTGCAGCAATTGCTGCCATCGTAAACCACCACCAATTTGAAACCCTTCATTTTGTTTTGCCGCAAAGGACGTGTTACTAAACCACATTTCTCAGTATTTTCAGACTCATTTTCTCCACATAAAAAGCCAGTGCACTTTTTTGAACTCTGAGAGTAAGAATTTTGTCTTCAAACTAGCATTTAATTGGACAGACTGGTGTTAAAGATTCTGTTTTGTTTATTAAATTATTATTATTTGCAAGCATTCTGTTAAAATATGTTGGATTCATCAAAGTCCCATCTGACCAGCAGTATGGTCCCTCTGTAACCCCCATTTTTCTGTATTTAACTCGTCACTACCCAGCCTTTATTTTACTACCATAATTATATAATTAAACTTACATATTTGCTTGTACATGATTATTATATGCAACAGATATAGAAATAAAATTAAAATGTAAAGGAAGATGAGTACGTTTACTCTGATGGCTTGCTGATTTTTAATAATCATATTTAATTTCCTTTTAGAGTCTTAACATGCAAGCAGTTTATTGAATTTAAGTTTGACTGATTTATACTGAAACTGAATGACCACTACCTTATCAAAGTTTTACTAACCTGTGTTTCTCAAATGTAGATTTTTAAAATTGCATTTTGATTAAGGAAAGTTCAATTTAGCACAAGTTTTCGCTATGTTTTAAAATTAATAAGATAAATAGAGAGTAAACATTTATAATGCAGTTTATTATTAGGAATTTGAAAGCCTTTAGCTAACAACATTTGCCTTTTATTTTTATTATGTGAGCTCATGTGTACATAACATGATTTAGTATGATGACATCTTCACTCTCCTATCATATATCTATTTGTTACTTTTCAAAAGTCTGGAAAAATAAATTGTTGTGTTTTGTTTTTTGATAATAAATCTTTTTCTAAATGATGGTCAACCTTTTCTAGTTTTAACAAACTCCCTAAGAATTGCCACTTTATGCTTTGTGAGTAAAAAAATATCTGGTGTGCAATGAGTTATCATGCAGTGATTTATGTCAAGCAGTTGCACATGTACTCAGTTCCATGGTTTGTGCTAACAACCATTGTTGGACCAGGCATTTCTCCAAAGCTCATGAGTTAGGGAATGGTAATTATAGCAAGTTGTATATTATAAATAATGCATGTATGTTCTGCATGAGCTATGTGGGATTTTGGCCCATTTGCTAGAACATAGTTGCATAATGATTTGTTTGGATTTTGTTGCAGATGATTGATAGTGCAGAATGTTGGCAATGATGTAAATTACTGTTGGGCTGCCTTGAAAATTTTAGTACAAGTGGTGATTTCTTCTCTTTTTCTGTGTGCTTGTCTAGTCTCGGCAGACACCTGAGGGTGAGTTCCTTCCCCTTGACCAACTTGAACTGGATGTAGGTTTTAGTACAGGGGCAGATCAACTTTTTCTTGTGTCCCCCCTCACAATTTGCCACGTGATCGATGCCAAAAGCCCCTTTTATGACCTATCCCAGCGAAGCATGCAAACTGAACAGTTCGAGATTGTCGTCATCCTAGAAGGCATTGTGGAAACAACTGGTGAGTAAAAAATAGATGTGCCATCAAGTTTCTTTACTCCATGATGACATTGTATGATATGCACAATACCTGTTATGAATTGGGCTAAATGACTCAGAGTTCACAATAATGAAAGTAATGGTTTGCCTCTTATTTCTTTGCAACGTTCAATTGACACTACTTTGAAAATCAAGATTTACCGTTTTGATGGTTATATACGTAATATTAACTCAGGAATATTCTGTAAAAACATAAAGGAAACTGAGATGACTCTTAGAAATGATTATAATGTTGTATTTTAATTACAAACTTGACTTTTGTATAATCATGATTTTCCTTTAAAAATTTAAAGTTAAAAACATTAGGGTAATTTAGTGAGCAACCTGTACTCAGCATGGATATTCTTGCCTTGGGTATGGTGATTTGGGGAGTCATTGATAAAACTTTGATATCTACTATGTGCAACCTCAGTGGAAAATTCCCTGTGTGTGTGCTCATGTGTACTGTGTATGCTAAAGCAGTAGTTTAATTTCAAAGTGGGTCAGTAGATTTCCCCAGCTGAACCTTGACCAAAATTTTCTATTTTAAAAAAAGATTTTTCTTCTTTTTCTGCTTTGGTATAGCTATAAGCTGTATGTTCTTACTTAAGATGCATTATAATGTAGATATGCCCCAAATACTTACAATTTGCTATTTTCTGAGGAGAGAGGTTGGCAAGGGAAAGAAGCAATAAATATGAGCATATTATTTGGGGCCAAAACATTGGCAGTTGGTTTAGAATCTGCTGGGTGTTTGAGACTAATGATATAGTATCCATATAATTATATGTATACAGGTATACATGTATCTTCATATATATACATACATACATGTATATCTATACATATATACATATATATGTATATATGTATACGTGTGTGTATCTTGAGTTTTACATTTTCTACGAGTCATGAGAAAACAAGAAATATATTAACTTTTAGTTTTTTGTTTACCAATATCATCTGAATGTCAAAATGCTAATTATTATGAATAAACTATAGCAGTACTGAAGTTAACATTAGCAGTGACATAGATGAATTCAAGCTTTATACCAAGGTGGAAGATCTTTTATGATGTAACGGTCACTTTTGTCCAAGGAGCAAGGGTAGGCAAGCCATTGTCATTTAAGCACATCTGTCACATAACACCTATCTGAAATTTAGGGAAGATATTTAATCTCTAAGAGCTTCTTTCCTTCTCTTTAAAGTGAGGATGATATAATAACCACCTCGAATCTGCTTGTAGCATTACTATTATTTAATTATTACTGCTTCAAAGGTAAGATTTTAAGGACAGCAAGAAAAGATTTAATGCATATATATATAAAATTTTATTTCTGTCTATTAATTTATGGTTTAGATCCCTCATTCAATTTTCAACTTGAAATTGAAATGTAGTATTTTTTTGAAAATAACATATTGGTAAAGAATATAACTAATTTATAAAGGCTCTTAGTCAAAGAAATCTTTAAATTTCAATTTGCATTTTTATCCGTCTCATTTATTAAAGTAATAGTGTATTATTAGAGCTTAAAAACAGATGTTGCCATATTTATTTATTATGGCATATTGTTCTTTCTTTTACACCCCTGCTTATAGTTTACCAATTGCTTATTATTATTCTAATCACTGACATAAGAGGGTCTTTGTTTCACTTGACAGCCTTAAAAATCTTTTATTAGATCTATTAGACCTATCTACCTACCTATCTAGCTACCTATGCATTCATTTTTTTCCTGTTTTTCCCTAAATACTAAATGTATCTCTTAAGAGTGAAAGCATTTTCCTATAAAATCACAGTCTAAAGATGGAATAGAGCTATTCCACCTTAACTTACATTGTGTTTCTTCACCTTGATGTACTTGAAGAACATAGGCCAGGTATTTTGTGGAATGTCTCTCAATTTGGATATGTTTGAGGTTTCCTTATTCATTAATTCTTTTGATTTGGGGCTTCTACATGGTTATCTGAAGAGAATATTGAAGCAGGTTGTTTTAAATTTTACCTGTGTTTCAGAGGATCATGGTTAGTAAATAATGTCCTATATAAGGTCATCAGGAGTTTTCTAACATAAATTATGTGTTAGATTTTAATACTTCCTCCTTCCTGCCTTTTTTTTTTTTTTTTTAATAATCAACTGGCAGAGAATACTCTCTACAGAAAATGTGAGAACTTGGCTGGAGACTGAATTTCTTATGTAGAAGGTGCCTTTAATGGAGAAGAGATTAAAGCCTGCTTCCTCTTAACCTCCTTATTAAGCCTGTTTTCTAGATCTGGTATAGCAAGACAAACAACACAACATTACTCACAATTTATAGAATGTATTTCATGGAAAATTTATCTGACACTTTGTGTGTCTGCCCTAAATAATTAAATCCTACACTGTTCAAACTCTGTAAAATCTCTCTATATTTTCAGACCTCCCTGAGCCTGGTAAAAATAACATGGACATTTTTATGTCCACTCGATCATTTAAAATTTTACTGAGATTTATTTAGATTCATCTTTAAGAATGTTTTCTCCTTTATCCTTTCATTCCCAATAAATTTTACTTTCTCATAATATTTATTGCTTGGAATAAGATAGATAAGATCTTTTGGGATTGTTTGAGGCAGTAAAAATACCATTTTTTATCTCTCATTGCCTTGTGAATAAACTTTTACTCTATGTAACTTTTTTAGCATTAAAATTATCAACTTTTTGTCATTCATTCACTTATTTATTAGATAACTATTTATAGATTATATTTTATGTGCTTGAAAGTATGTGAGATGCTCGAAATATAGTGATGACCTGGATAGACAGAACTTCTGTCCTCATGGGGGTTATATTCTAATTGGAGGAGGAAGACGACAAACATCAATCGATAAGCAAGATATTATAAGGTAATAGGGTGTCAGGGATAAAAAACAAAAGAAAATAAGTTATGAGATAAAGAGTACATGCAGGCTGCTTTAGGTTGATGGTTGGGGAAGGTCTCTCTTGGGGGGGGACACTTCCACTGAGCCCCGGCTGTGCAGAAGGCCCTCCTGGGTCAGTCCAGGGTAGGAGCATGGCAGGCATTGTGGAACAGCTGGTGCAAGGGCCCTGAGTTGGGGATGAGCTTGGTCTATTCTAGGAACTAAATGAAGGAGGAGGTGGTTGGAGAAGAGTGAGCAATGTGGAGGGTGGGGTGAAAAGTTGGTGGGGAGGGGCCACCTCTGCACTGTAGATGATTTTATGCACCCACGGGAAGCATTAGGATATAATTAAAAAACAGAACCTATATTTATATGAAAGAGTAATAATTTAGTAATCTCAAACTGTATATAACAAAAAAAAAAAACCCACCCACTTTTTTTAAGTGGGTTGCATGTAGTTTGTTTAAAAATTAGTCACTCTAATGTCTCTCATGTCTTGGAAATGCATACAATTTTAGAGAGCATTTTTGTATTAATTGTATTCCTTCCTCTACAGCCCTACCCTGGCACACACACCCAATTGCTCCCTTCACAGCAGTGCTCTGTTAAGAATCTTCTCATTTCATTTAGTTTTTGCTTAGTCCTACTCCCATGGGCTCAGCAGGAGTGGTTGGGGGAGGGAAGTGAGAAATTAGAAGCTTTCTAATTTCCTTGAAAGTTTCAGCTTTCATCCCAGGACTCACAATTAATTATTACTTTCCCTGATTCCTTGGAAATATTCCTCAGTGATCAGATTCGGAGATTGTTTCCTTCTTTGCTTCAGATGAGCTGGATTTTCACTCCCAAGCTTTGCCTCTTGATTAATAACCTTTGCATTCTTGCTCATCTAGCAAATTCCTAAACGTAGGTTACCTCTAACTCTTGCTCTCTTTGCTGATTCTCCCAGGAGAGAGAGCACTGCCAGAGGCAAACAAAGCATTGCAGATTTGGCTCATTAGAACTCATGCTTTCAAACTTCAATCTGGTTTCTGCTGCTATTTGGCAGTCTTTTTAATTGTCTTTTCTGTACTCTCAGGCTTGCTCCCCATGGGATCTATTTTAGACCTTTTCTCTCTTTCCGTGCCCCCACTTCCAGCTGTCCCGTTCCTTCTTTGGCATGTCATCTCTCCACCTATTCTATCAATAAAAAGTGACACTTCACTTTTATACATTTATTTATCTCCTTATCTTTACCCCCTAGAGATCTTCTCTTTCTTTTTCCTAGTGTCTGTGGGGGAAAGTGTCTTTATTCTTTTCTCCACAACATCTCTCTTTTTTTTTTTTTTCCCAGACAAAGTCTCCCTCTGTTGCCCTGGCTAGAATGTAGTGGCATCATCGTAGCTCACAGCATCCTCAAACTCCTGGCCTCAGGCGATCGTCCTGTCTCAACCTTCCGAGTAGCTGAGACTACAGGTGCACGCCACCACATCCAGCTAACCTTTTCTATTTTTAGTAGAGATGGGATCTTGTTCTTGCTCAGGCCGGTCCAGAACTCCCGACCTCAAGCAATCTTCCTGCCTCAGCCTCCCAGAGTGCTAGGATTACAGGCATCACCCGTGGCGCCTGGCCTCAAACCATCTCTTTTATAGCAAGTAATGTGTTTCATGCATTGCTTCCCACCACCTATGACTCAAGCTCCAATTCTTACCATCCCTGACATGTGAAATCCCTTTAACTCCTTTCTATTTGCTCTGAACTATTTTCAGGTCTGTCTTAGTGGAAAAAAATAAAGTCCCATCATTTGTCCCTTTATACTTCTAAGGTTCTTCCTGGGATTCAGAGGCGGCCCCTCCCTGCTCTGACTTTTCACTCCACTTTCCACGGAAGGAAGCACATTCTCCCTCACTCTTTCTTTTCTTCTTTATTTTCTTTGTCTTTATATTTTTCAGTTGTTCCTTATATCCTGCATTACTGGCCCTTCCTACTCCTTTGCTCTCCTTTACATATTTCCTAGCTCTCTGCCCTTGCCTTTTTCCTTTCTAGTCTAAATATTTGCCTTTTTAGTAAATTCACAAAGTACTCATAAAACTGCCATTCCGTTTAT